TTCGCGCCGCTCTCTCGTCGTCGTCCACGCTCCCTTCCCCCTCACCAGCCCCACCAAGCACAGCCCCCGCGCCCACACCCACCTCACCGTCCTTATCGTCGCCTTCACCTTGCACCATATCGTCCTCTCCAGACGCAGCGCGAGCGACACCGTCGTCCCCGCCGCTGTCGACATCGTGATCGGTATCGCGTTCCTGTGAAGAAAGAGCAGCACCAGCAGCGCCAGTCAACTTCTGCCGCCAACTGATATCTTCCACACCCTGACTGATCTGCCGCACCTTGACTTCGTGCGGGGGGGAGACGCTCAGGGGAGGCGAGTGCGGGTGGGAGGGCGTCCTGGAGCGTTGTTGCGCATCGTCCTCCTCGACGGTCGTATCCAGCTGCACGCGGCCCTTCTTCGCAGGGGACATGCGGCTCTCCTTGCTCTCTGGCGCGTGCGGCTACAAAAAGGGTGTGTGGAGGGAAAGGGAAGGGGGAGGGGGGGAGGGAACACACGCCATGCGACTCGTTAGCTCTGCCGATCTCATGGTCATCATGGCGATGCAGGGGGACGCACCGAAGAAGCGGTGGCAGCTGCTCTGGGCGTAGCTGGCTCAAGAGACACCTCCCGCTCTCTCTTCCTCGACAACAGCTGGTCTGTTTAATTGTAGACACCCACGAACCCAGACAATAAGACAACATGAAATATGAAAAGAAAGAAAAAAGTACTCCATATGAGCGACCCGATCAGCTTTTGGCTATTGTTGGTGTTGACATACCTGAGCCCTCAGCCACGTCCTCAGCAGAGGGTGACGCCGACCGTGAGTGTTTGACGTCGATGGCAGTATTGAGGATGAGGTCCTCTCTGCTGTCTTCTTCTCGTTTTGCCATCGGTGATGTGGGGAATGTTATGGTCAGAATTCAAAGGAAAGTCGTCAGTACGGGGGGTACAAGGCAACACAAGTGCAATAATATGAAGGGCCACTGAGTCCGGCACTGCCTCGGCTCACTCCGGCCGCTTGTGCCCAGCTGGATCTTGTCTCACCCCCCCTTCCTTGGACTCGAACCAAAACGTTGCCAGAAAATAACAACAGCCTGAGGATCACTGCTGATCGAACAGAAAAACAGAACCATCAGTCCTGGATTACTACGTAAATTTCATCGTTTGAACAGCCTGACTCTTCCAGCAGGATGCAGCACAGATACCCCCCCCCCCCCATTGTCCTCAAGCGGCTCATCCAACCTCTGGGTACCGGGTCAAACTGGAAAAGCTGGGATGACATTCATTTGTCAGATAGCAGTGGGTACTGGGCAGTTCTGTACGTGTAAAGATAACAGCATGGTATCAGAGCGGGAAAAATGCGTCTACAAGATTGCAATCGGGAGATACAGGCGAGACGAGATTGCAAGAGGTACGGAACATAAATGCAAGAAAGCTAAACAACAACAACACAGCAGAGCATCACAAACCCAAAACATAGCAAAAAAAAGCACACACGTATACTGTAGCAATGTTCAATAAATGCAGAGTTATTCAGGACTGAAGGAAGGGTTTTGTCGCCGTCGTTCATCCGCAGTCGTAAGCATTTTTATGAGACTCGACTCAAACACGGGTTTTGTTAAGATGCTAGAAGGATATGTCAGAAGGTACAAAACACCGGGAACGACGCCACCCACTGGTCAACACCTGCATCAATATACGCTCTTTGGTCTTCAAGGAGCGCATTCCCTGTGGTATTGTCAGCTTCACTGTCCCCACCACGAAAGCTTACTTACCTGTAACGCCAACTACAAAGTCGTCTCTCTCCATCTCCCGAAGCTTCGATACTACCTCCAGACCAGACATAATCGGCATTTGGTTATCGAGGAAAACCACGTCATACTTGTAACTATCTTCATGACTACCATTCATGTTAATGACATGAGAACTTCCATTTTGTCCTTGCATTGAGATGCGTCCTATAATCATTTCCAGCGCAGTTTCTCCATTGTCCGCCGTCGACACCGTACACCCAAGGCGACTTAACATCCGTGACATGATCGTCCGTGTTAGCATGTCGTCATCTACGACCAAGGCAACCATGGGCGGGTCAAAGATCGCTACAAAGCCTTTCCTTGGGTTCGAGGTATCTGCGTTTGAAGGTGGCGACAGAGTCCCGACTGTGTAAGAGGCACTCAGTAGGGGATCGGGCATGCTATCTTCCTCGACAGCAGTCGAGGTGCTCCCCATAGGAGAAGTTTCTTGCAGAAGAATCATCCTGGAATTTGTTTCAGTGGTAGAAAAGGCGGGTGCATCGGCTATACGGGATCCATACTGAGCGCCAGAAGAAAGGTCACCAATCGTTCGTGTCGGAACGGCTGCTTCTGACTCGTCTTGCATGTTTTCCAAATTCAGTTCCACGAGTCCTCCTTTGACACATTCAGCATGTTTCCTCCATATAGTAGCAGGAATGGAGGCATACTTTGGTCCATCAACGTCTGTAAGGCAGACGAAGTGGGAGTACCCATGTACATGCGTTGAGGTCTCCTAGTCGCAAGCAGATCCGCAGACAAAGGACCAGTGAGCTCCACTGTTGGTTTCCCGTTTAACATAGTCTCCGTCTCGGGTGGAGCCACTACCTTGACGCCCACACCCAATGCTGTGTCAATATGTACAAGTCAGCGCACAAAAGTGGTAATGGCTATTTGCGATGTACTCACGAAGCTCAACCCAGAACGTGGACCCTCGCCCTAGCTTTGATCGGACTCCCAGGCGGCCACCGCTGAGCTTGACAATCTGACGCACAAGGGCCAATCCCAATCCAGTACCCTTTCCACCTGTGATGCTTCCATGTAAGCCCTCGTGAGGCGGATATATAAGCTACTGACCCTGCTGTCTTCCTTGCTCTGTTTGATTAAAAGCAGCTAATGAATGGATGAGGATCGCGCTCTTCAGCTTCTTAAATTCGAAAGAAGGACGTACAAAACAGTTTTCCCTGTGTCATCTCCCTGGGCGGGATCCCACCTCCTGTATCTGATACCTCGATTCGTACTACGATTCGCTTGAGTTGGGGTAACTTCGTCGGTGAACTCGCGCGACCTTTCTCTTTCAGTGAATTGGGCGATGGAAGAACCTCATCGTGAATAGACGCAACAGCTACTTCTTCGATTATATCATTCTCCTGGCCCTCTTGTGCCGCCTCTGTAGTATCAGGCTGGTGACTGGGAAACACCAGCCGCGTAGAACAAGTTACTCGGCCTCCAGCTGGCGTGAACTTGCATGCATTACTGAACACAATCGTTAATCATGATGGGCCAAGTCCAGGAATCAACGTCAAAACAGACCTTGCAAGATTGTTTATTATTTGCCTCAGCCGTATCGCATCCCCGAGCACCACTCCATCCTCGTCCGGATTCTCATTAATGAGTCGATCAAATTCTACCGGATCTTCACTCGCGGCTTCGTATGCAGCATGTCGCGCAACCTGGGTTTTTTTGAGTTTAACATCGTCAAAATCACGGAATAATTGGTTCTATGTTAAATTCACGAACCAAATCAATGTTTTCGTCCAAAGCAGTGACGAGCTCCAGGTTGCGGGCGTCGGTTGCCATGCGCAGTGGTATAAAGAGGGAGCGGATGACGGAGTGAAAGGCGTAAGGCTTTGATGGAATCGCACTGAGAAAACAATCGAGCCAATACACAACCAGAGAATTCACCTTTGATAGAATCTCAAATCGACCGCTATCCATACGGTTACTAGTGAAATGTCAATATCAACGTCAATATCAAGACTAGACTAGACTAGACCCACAAGTCTAACATATCATTAAGTACTGTATCAGAATCGTCAATGAAACCGTCTTCTCTGAAATTGGGGTAGCCAACCTTTGGACATCATGACCAGACTGCCTTCCAAGGCCATGAATTCCAGCTCCTGAGCTTTACATACGGCACCCGAGGCTTCCATATTCTGCACCGCCAAAACTGTGCAACACTTAATTAATTTGATCACATATAAGACCGATCAACACTCACGAGCTGTATTCAATGGCACACGGACCTGTCAATTCCCCCTATCAGTAAACGGAAGTAAGGTCGCGTGCAGCAAAAAACTACCTCGTGAAATACATAGCTGTATAGTGACATGTTTCAATAAATACATGATCGAACTATGGAATTGGACGTACGAAGTAAGGCGCCTTTTGGAATCTGCCGCTTTCCGTTCGTTGATTTGTGCTTTCTGGGTAGCTTTGAACTGGAGCTTGAGTTGTTCTCGCAAGATAAACAGGCGACGTTCAGACTACACGACAACCTCAGTCACAAAAAGCGTCGAGGTGCGTCTCACTTACGTTTTCGTTCATGTAGTGAACAAAAAGCAAAAAAATCTCGTAAAGCAAGAAATTCAATAGATCTTGATAGGTAGGATATCAATAAGAAGAGCTAGAAAAGTATGAGATAAAAACTCACTTCTGAAAAAGATGCCATTATATGGGAGGACCATGGCGCTCGAACTACAATCGTTTTCACTGTTGGCCAATCATTCATGATGATAATACACGGCACGTACAAAATGAAGAAAGCGAGCGAACCACATAGCGCTGCCAATCTCGTCAGTTTTAGCCCAAACAAAGCAATAGTCTGCAATGCTGTAGTGTAGCTGGCAAAGGGTGATCAGTGCTCTGAGGCCCACTCGTTAGGAGATATGGATATACTAGAATATCGTCAAGAAGTTTTTTGTTCCACAGGAGAACGTAAAATTGCCATAGAATCCACAAAGGTACCTGATCACAAGCTCTTTAGACAAGCCTTACTAGAGTAGTTGAGAGAGTAAACCCGCACATTGAAAGTATTTCATAAAACGGCCTGCATAAGAGCGCAGAGTTAAAAATGTATACGATTACGCCGAAGAAATGTCACGCACCAGCTGAATATAGACACAATCAGAAACAGTTGAAAACGGATAGGATAATCCCGTGGGATATCAAACATCACTAATGGTAGCAAAGGCAGGCATAAAACTGGTGCAATCTACGGGGAAAAGTTTAAAAACCTCTACAGGAGAGGATCGAGAGTGTCGCTTACACCGAAGAAAAATATCTTGTCCAGTAAAACGAGTGGAGTAGGTATTGAGGCAGCACCAAGGATCCAGTTTACTATGAAGTAACTGGAAGACCAAAACCCTAATGACTTGGAACGTATTACTGGATAAGTGAACGCATTTAATATACGACACGTAATTACCTTGCGGATAAACCAATGTTCCCGACGGTAGCGTGTTTCTGTCCTCTCGTCGTGAAAACGAACGACGAAGAACTTGGATATGGCAGGCCAGATAAACCATCGCAAGAAAACGAGCATGCGTCGAAAAAGGCGACGATCGTCAGGGATTGAATGACTTTCATGACCAATGCTCGTGCCTGTCCCAACTGGAATATGGCTATCTCCTGACTTTTCTGGCGTCGGCTCGTCAGACTGGTCGAGTGAGCTCTTCATATCTTCAGACCAGTCGCGGTCCACAACGATTTCGTCGAGTTCATCGCTATCATCACCGCCTTGAGTCCGCTGGCGCGGTTGGCTGCTATCCAAGCTGCTATCCAAAACCAAAGAGGAAGTAGAAGGGGAATCTGTGCCCACACGCTTTTTGAAACGTGCCCAGTGAACTTTGAGACCATCAATGCGAGCTATTTTCCGCTTTTTCTTGCGACCAGCGACAGCGCTCTGTGTGATGGGAATAGGGAGTTCGAGTAAACCGTCGGGAGATGCCATGGGGGTAAAATTTGAAGAGTCAGCTTTGCTTTCTTTTACTGGAGAAGAAGAATAACTATGCTTTGCAGGCATCACACACGTCGGTAAGCTGGGTGTCTAATAGGAGCAAGGATTCATGAATGCGAAGCAAAGGAAGGAAGCGCAGTAGCCAACAGTGCAATTCCTCGAAGGCGTAAAGAAACAGTCATAAAGATTTCCAATCTGGGCCGTTATGCAAGGAGCGGGAGTCCAAGCCGGCCAGGTACGACCTTGCAGGATATGTTGCAGAGAAAACACGAGGCCAGACTTGCATTGACCTACGCAGTATCATTTATTTTAGAGCTTGAATGCATGTAGATATGTGCATATGTGCATGAATCTCGCTGGAGTGAGCCAGTGTGATCGTCTTGTTCTCAGGTAATAGATTAAGTAATCTGCAATATTGACCGCTTTTGAAAGTCCGGTCAGCACTGCAACGTTATTACGGAACTTTGGTGAGCATCACTGCGATGGCATAACCCAGAATGCAGTACTTAGCACCTGTCCACCCGGCGAGCAGAACATATTGTTCCCCGTGTAAATGAGAGCACACCCATGCGCTCTGATGTATTTGAGCCAGTATGTGGTCACGCGGCCCACTGGCACCCGTGGACGAAAGCTATGAGTCTCATCGACAAATCAGGAAATAACCATCCAAGAAAACTGCATTTGGACCCTCAATATCACTGACAAAGATTTGTGTTGTTTGATATGTAGATCATACACAGTTTCATGAGGGAGATAGCATCAAAGCCCCAGCCGCCGCGGCTGTAGACTAGATTCTCAGGAAATAGAAATATAGTCTCATCGTCTTCGCCAACAAGAACACAATTATTTGTTGCCTTCCCTCCGCTGTGTGGTCGGAGTTTCATTCTGTCGCCGCAGGATTGATTCTGCCTTGTATATCACACTCGTCTCACTGGCGCTCTCTGTCCTCGACTCCCTCTTGACCTGGCTCAGCTCACAAGTTTCACAGAGTAAAAAAAAAGGACCCCCTTTCCACAAGGCTGATTTTATTTTAACTTTGTCTTGAATTTATAACTTTCGAACTCGGCTTCTCTTTGGTGAGCCATGGCAGTACAGATATCGCTCAGGAATGGCGAACGAGTCAAAATCAATGGTAAAAATATTCATTCTCTCCCTCTCTCTCCCTCATTCCCCCATTTACTTATTTTTTGAAGATCATGTCTATTGTTCCCCAAGTTGGTCTGTGCGAGACGGCACCCCTTACTCGGTGGCGCGTATCATGGAGTTCTTGCCACCAGAAGGAACCCTGAAAGGCAAGGGGAAAGGCAAAGAAAATTATACTCGTGTTCGCCTCGCCTGGTACTATCGCCCTAGCGATGTCAGCGACCGTCCAGTGGCTGATTCTCGACTTTTACTCGCCGCCATATACTCTGAAGTATGCGACATCAACCAACTACGATCAAAATGCCACGTCATCCATAGGGACAAAATTTCTGATCTAGCTGGTTGGAAAAAACGCCCAGATCGCTTTTATTTCACTCGTCTTTTTGATCCTTATATTAAGAAGGAGTACGAAGTTATTCAGTCATCTGACGTCAGAAATTGTGCGTGTCCCCTTAGTTTTCGCTTGTTTTGCAATTTATCCTTCAATTCAGTACCGGAGAATATCAGACAAGTTCTCATTCAGAGATACGAATATGTAGTTGCAGAGAAGGATGTTGTGCCTGATCTCACAGACTCTTTGCGACTCTGTCAAACCTGCAGCGAATGGTGCCCAAAGTAAGTCGACGCACTGAAAAAGTAGTCAATTAATGAGTGATTATTGATGGTCTCTAGCCCTGAAACTGTTCGATGTGATAGATGCAAGAAGTTCTTCCACATGGGCTGTGTTCAGCCCCCGCTTCTTGCAAAGCCTTCGCGCGGTTATGGTTGGACTTGCGCGCCTTGTTCGAAGAAGCACGAAGAAGAAGTGGATAGCCACGAGGTCCGCCACCCAACACCAGTCACCAAACCCAAGTCCAATGCACCTGCTCCTAGAGGACGAGGAAGGCCACGCAAAGACCGCACCCTTGCCGAAAAGGAGGAAAACCTTGAAATCAAACATTTCAAACTGTGGCCATTCCGGTATTTTGGGTAAGCTTTTTAATCAAAATTTTCAAACCCTCCCTGGGATTTAATACCAACGTTTTTGGAAGCCAATATACTGTTGCCGAGGACACGCTTGGTAAGTCAAACCTGTCGTTTTGTAGACCAAATTCACGTGGCTTCCCCCATCAGATCCTGACGATCTTATCTTTCCTCGGGCGGCTACCCGAGTTGGACCGAAGTTTCAAGTTAATATCCCATCTCCTCCTACGTCAGATGTAGTGAAACCACCACCAACAACAGGTAAACTCACCTGACTTTATATCTGAGATATGGACTAATCAGAAACGCAAAATCCAGATCCTGACGAGAGGGGAGGCGATAGCACCATCGAGGTGCTCAGCCTAGTGAACTCCATGACACGCGAAGAAGGTGCGCATTGTCAGTCATGTTGTTTACGTAATCGTTCACACATCCTTCCCAAAAATAGTGACAGAACGTGAGTACATTCACTGGTATTTTGAAGGATCCTTGTTGAGCCTGTTTATGCAGTGGAAGAATGGAAGTCAGCATTAACGAGGAGGCGAGAACTACTGTCAAGCGTGGACTGGCTGACAGAAGTCATCCGACGATTCTCACAAGCATATTCAGCTAATCGCGGTTGGTCTACTGTTGACATGAGTTCACCCATGCGGTCAGAGAAAGTGAGCAACGAGACAACAACTCTCTATGTCACTGATCATCCATTTTCAATAGTGGAAAAAATCAGAGACAAGATATACCGACCGAGAGTGGACTGCTGAAGAAGTTGCAGCATTTGAGGATGGGATACTCACGAATGGAGCTGAATTGCGTGCTGTTCGTGAAGAAATTGGCACTCGTCCTATGCCAGAGGTCGTCCGTTTCTATGGGCACTGGAAAAAGTACTTGGCTATCTCGCTCCCTTCTCACGTGTATCTAACCCTGTTTCTCCTAATAGCCTTAAGCTCGGTGAAGAGAATGTTCGCATCAAAGCAGCTGGCACTCCCAATGGAGACGACGCCTCTCATTCATCTCGAGCAACTCCAATATCTGATGACGAGGGATCCATTGTCCGGAATCCTCCAAAGGCCAACAGCATATGTGGAGCTTGTAGGACTCGAGAATCTGATATCTGGTGGAAAGCTCCAAAGGGTCTCGCTACAGACATTCTCTGCGACAACTGTGGAACCAATTGGAGAAAATACGCTGATTTGAATGTCAGACCTGTCCGTGAGGACGTGTTATCTTCCGCAAAGTCAAAACGAGAAGGAACACCACTGAACGGGCCAACCGCAAAACGCACAAAGGTAAATAAGAATAAGTTGAAAATGTGTTATATTCCGCTCACTAGAATATGCTTGATTGCCAGACCTCTACAATATCAACACAATCTCCTCCCCCAAATACCGCCGCTGCCCCCCAATTACGTTGTCTTGCGTGTCAGAAGAATGGGCCAGTGGGCAAGGTCTTGAAATGTCAAGGTTGTCATTTCCGAGTGCATGCAGGTGGGTGGACATCCGTATTATTCAGGAGGATATCTGCTTAGCGTACTATAGGCGCCTGTGGTGTCGCTATTGACAAAAACACAGTTGACTCTTGGACATGTGATTTATGTCAAAATGCAAAAACACTGGAAGCATCCCTAGTATGTCCTTTAACCCCCACCATCTTGTCTTGCTAAATCTTTTTGTTAGAATACCCAATGCGTCTTATGTCCGCGGCGGAAAGCGTCGAAGAAACCTGCGGCAGACTCGTTCATGCGCGCCTGCAAACCCACTGAGGGTCAAGGCTGGGTCCATGTCTTATGCTCAGTCTTCACACCCGAAGTTACGTTCACGGATGTTTCTCGCCTTCGGTTGGTGGAAGGCATAAGTACAATCCCGCGACAACGATGGTCAACGGTAATTTGCATCGCTTTCTTGGGGGATCATCTCATTTTCATTCGTGTGCCTTCTTTTAGAAATGTACGTTATGCGGCGAAATCAGTGGTGCTGTTCTTCGGTGCAGTGATTGCGTGAGGGAGTTTCATGCATCTTGCGCTTGGAAAGCTGGTCACAAGTTCGGCTTTGAGATACAACCTGTAAGTTTGCTACGCTCAAAATCCGAGCAATGAGCTGATTACTCACCATCGTATACAGGTGAGGAATCACCGTCGAGATGTCGTAATAACGACGTTCAAAGGTGATACTGGTGCCATGGCTCCTGTGGTATGTTGTCGGGAGCATGAAAACTCCAAGCGTCATCTCTACGATATTTGTGAGACGAATGAGATGGGGGAGGTGAACTATCTACCACATTCTTCTGACCTAACACTGACACCACAAGCAGTCGGCACTGCAATTGTACTGTCAAACATATAAGCAAGCCCCTGTTTCTCAAGCACATGGACTGCTACGTAAAGCTCGTCGTCTCGATCAGATTCTCAACATTCGAAGTGATTCACTCACTTCTTCTGGCGATCCATCCGACCGTGAATGCCTTCGCTGTCACACACAATATTCACCTTGCTTTTATCCTTCAGTGCCAGGACTTTCAAATGATTGGATATGTCACAGGTGTCACTTTGACACTAAACCCGCTATACCTGAATTAATGTTACCCGCCATATCCAGATCTCCAGTAGAAATGGATAAGGCATTTACGTCGGACGATTGGAGTCCTCCAACATGGGCGACATAAAGCTTCATGTCCACATTATTAGCATTACAATCTGTATGATATCCGGATAACGAATGGATGCAAGTACGAAAATACAAATGATAGCAGAAGATAACGGCAGATTGGAACGGCAGTGAGTTATCCAAATAAGCAACTGTTAAGTGTTAAATAGAAAGCTTCATCACGATTGGACTCTCTTGTAATATAAGACATAAGCGGGGCGTCCCTGTATATATGGTTAGCGAATGTTCATTAGTGGTGTGGATGAAGGGTTTACTCACCACGACTTGCTTGGCATCCGTTGGTGTGACACGACTGTCATCACAATACACCCAGCCTCCACGAGAGGCGATAAAAGCAGTATCTGCAACAGTTGGTTTAGTCAAGTAAGTATTATGCAAATCAGTATCACTCACAATGACCGCCACTCAGTGTTCCGAAATGGTTTGTGACACCATAAAGGTCATATTTGTAGGGAGGTGTTTGCATTCTGGGGTCTTCTGTAGACAAATTTGCACCGTTCATATTGCCTTTATCCATACCAGGCGGGAGTGGGGGAGGCATGTAATTGGTAAGATCGAGCGTACGTAAAGGAAAGTCGACAACAGTTTCGATCTTGTCGGTGAATGGGCCTTTGAATGAAAATCGTTTGAGATGGATTAAAAGAATTGGTGGGAGACGAGACAAGGAAAGTCTTTTGGTGGCTTTGCGAAGAGCTTTACAGTTCGGACAATGCCTAGAAATACAATGCCTGTCAACACTGTACACACATAGGAGGACAGGCACACGTACCAGGCATCGGTGTTCTCCAGGATTTCCTCTTTTACGAAGGCATCCAAACACGATTGCAGGCTCACTTTCGACGACCCTCTAACGATTGGTATGGGTAAGGTGAGATACATAAATGTGTTATAAGTGGTAGATGTCTTGATACATCGTGTCAATAAATATATCACTGCAGCGAAGAGTTAACTTTACCTTATGACATGTAAGGCACTCCATTCGATTTCGAAATTGTCCCTGGAAGTAATCCACGACGAGGCTATCGTTTCGCATGCGATATAAATTCCATTCTTGCTGGCTCGCGATCTGCTGTGGTAGCTTTTCTAGCTCGGCCTCTCGTTCCGGTGTCACCTCATAGTGCGGCTTTTGTAAGACTCTGTTCAAGTCCTCGTGTAGACCGTCGAGGAGGAAGCTCAGGAACTCTTGCGAATCGTGTTGTTCCGATCCGCTGAATTGTGGCGCGTGGCTGCATATTGATCGCTATGCCATATATTAGTAGAAAGACCTACACCCAACGTATAAAAACTCACTCGAAAAGCATTAGGAGTGAGGTGAGGTAGTTCGGAGTGCGCCATTTCGTATAAAATGTTAGAAAAGGCAAGTGCTAAATTACCCTTGGTGCCAAGAGGGTTTAGCATATTCACTGCATTTTTCCACCTACCATCTAGAAGCACAGTTAGCTGATTAGACTTACTGCAGATTATGGAAGCTAGCATACCAGTAAAAAACCGGGCAAAAGGGACAGTGGCGCTTAGGCACTGAATGGTCGAATTCATGTAACACGTATTGCCGAGGTTTTTGAGGCCAGAAGTAACGATCTGCACATCGGACCAATAGGTCACAGGATACTCAGATTGGATGGTCGGCGGTTTGGGACCCGCCTTAGATTGAGGTACTGAAACCGAATATGAATGCGCGTGCATCAGCCTTGGCCGACTATCCTGCCTTTCTGAAGCGGGAGACGCAGCAGGTGGAGGTGGTCTGAGAATATTATGCAAAGGAAGGTCTGGATAATCTATAGAAGGGCGATGGCCAAGCGCAGCAAGCGGACTGTGAGGAATATCCATGTACTCGCTTCGACGGCGAGATAAGGGGGAAGGGTTGATGGACGCTTGAGGTGGAAGCGATACAAAGCTAAGAGGAGCTGGAGAAGAGGAGAAGGAAGAAGAGCTAGACGTAGTTGATGACATTGTCCGGGAAAATTGGGGATATTGTATAGATGATGTACCATTGGCCATAGATTGTGGTAATATGGAGGGAGAATTAGTTGACTGCAATAGATCATGTTAGTACTTTGAGTGGAGGACAACGAGAGACAGAATCACGTTGTCAGAATTATTGGGGTACGATATAGAAGCAGAATTCGGCCGATTCAATGCATGCCTGCGAACTAGACTTGTAGTGTTATCGCTAATGCCATTTGCAGCATGACTTTGCGGTGTTAGACTGACGTTTCAATGATCAGGCATATTACGCAATCAAAGTGGGGACATCATATACTCACCGAGGAGAGCTAGTTGCTACACCTGGAAGCCGAGAGCGTTCGTTAGGTTCAGACAAGGTCGGCTTTTCTGTCCCGTTCATGGGAATTTGGGAAGCAGAAGTCCATAAGCGCGGGGTTTCGGTAGACGATGGTGCTGTAGACGTTGACGACGACAAAGACGGTGCGATAGGAGGTGAGGACCCTAGATGGTTTTCTAGACCATTGGCAGGTTTATGTGCATAAGGTACACCTCTGACGACTTCGTCACTTCCAACTTCCCTTTTCCACGCTTGCAGTCCTCCTACCAATAGCATCGGTGTGTTTCTGAGAATTTTTCGGAAAGCCTTTTCATAAATAACTCGAACCAGTGACGATAGTGGCCCATGCGCTTCATCGTATAATTCTGATGATTCATCATACATGGCTACCAAATCGAACTTATCACGGTTGACGAAGAGCACCCGTTCGTTGCTTGGAGCAACATGAAGAGAATCCTCCAAGGACGAGCCGTCGATACTACGACCGGGAATAAATTATGGGAGCTGTAGATCGATCAAAGAGCTCTCACCTTGCCCGCGTCAAAACGAACGGTTCGATGCAAACGACAGCACCTGTCTTCACGTGTTCTTTCTGGAATTCCTCGCGGGTACGCACATCGATGAGTAATACCGTCGTGGTAGGGTTACACATATACTCATACAATGCCTTCGGAAGTATTACATTAGAGACAGGTATCGACGGTTTCTCAGGAAGTGGAGAAGGTGGCGGTATGGCGGGAGATCTGGGCACCAGTGGAGACGACGAAAGCCCAAGAGCAGAGGCCTTCGAGGTGATGACTGGAGACCTAGCTGGCGATGCTGGTCGACTGATGAAGTGATTAGTAATGGGTGTAATTGGAGTACTGGAAGGCCTTGGGCCGGGATCTATCGAAAGTACTGGGAAGGGTTTAACTGCAGTTGGCTGTGCTGGGTCCACACGCAAACTATTCGATATGGATGACAGGTGGCTCGAAACGCTGCTCCCAGTGGCATTCGGCACTGACGGAAAAGAAAGGCCGTTCATTTCGTCCAACTCACTGATCGAAGGAAATGTATGCGCAAACTCTGACAAACTGATATGAGATAATCGAGGCGATGAGGAATCTGAGGACGTTGGCGATGGGGGACCGAGACTGGACAATGGGACCGTTGCATGAGGGGAAGGTACAGCTGAGGCAGGAGCCGAAGGAGGTATCAGGCTAGTCAATGGAGGGGGAGGCGATGTGATTTGCGCAGAGAAGCGGCTACGTGTGGCATCCGGAGACAATGGTGTAACAGGTGGATTGGGTAATTCTCGAGAGAGACGTTTAGATTCTTTAGAGGTACTGACGGCCAAACCAGCATCCTGCAAAGACCGCAAGCGATCAGCAATAGTCGTTCCCATTTTCCTGTTCGGTCCTTCTACAGTGTTCGAGGTATCACTGATATGAATCGTCAGTGAAATCAATGACGTTGATATGCCCTTAAACTCACGTTCCTGCAGCCTTCCCAAGGTCCAACAACCTCGATTCCAGGTGAGCGACACGGTTTTGGAGATCCCTTCCATCACGCTATGAATCCGTTAGAAATTGGATTTTGCTGAAGTAAAATGCATGTACCTGTTGAAAATCGAGCATTTCTTTAATAAGGACACCCTTCCTGCCAGGTTGTTCCTCTGCTCGGAACTCCGAGCTATCCATAAGCATCGACAATAAGCTTATAGCCTTTGTGAGAGCACCGAGAGCGCCTTTGAGGTCTTGGCTGGTTTCACATCTATGGGCTACCTGAGTCTGAAAGCGAGCTGCTCGAATGAGCGATATGGCAGAGGCACCTCTGGCTGTTTTCTGTGCATGCTCTTTAGCCTTATCCTTAATCTCGGCGACGGACATATTATCAGTAATAGCTGAAGACCCATTGAGCATAGCTGCTTCCAGCGGAGGCTGATTGCGACGGATGTTGGAGGAATACGGCAAGTTCTCACTGGCACTCGATGACGATAATCCGAAACCTCCCAGGCCTGGCGATGGTGGAAGTACGGCAACCCCAGGCATGTAAATAACAGAGAAAGAGAAATAAAGAAGAGGCTAAAGGTGAGAAACGATATCCAAGACTGAGTGGAGTTTTTGCAGGGAAAGCGGGATAACAACAAATATGATCGCACAATGTGTTTCGACTTCGGGGGCAGAAACGCAAATTACATAATGGGCTGCGCGGTCACTCACGGCCGTGACGCACAGTACGCCACACCGTTACTAACGTCCACGTGACTGGGTCGCGTCTGTTCAACCACGAGCCAGCGGAACTGCAGTCTTACAGCTTTCTTATACCCCTTTCCTTTTGTTTTTTTTTATAGGATACCATGGCAGTGACGCCGCGCAAGCTGGTGCACTGGGCAAACGACATCTCATTGTCTGAGTTCGGCTCTCCCTTTTCAGAGACATCATCCACAGATTCTTTGGTTTCTACCTCAAGCTTGCAATACATCAACTCACAGCTCGTCGCCCATGGATTCACCACCTCTCCAGGTCTCAACTTTGACGCACTGTCAAACAGTGATTCAGAACGCGTCGCTAAATGTCTACTATCCATGTTGAGTCAGAGAGTGGTGAGTAATGTGCCTTCTATGTCGAATACGCCTTTACAAATAATTAATTTCAGGAAGACATGTCCAGAGCAGAAGACCTCTCGACAAAACTTCGTACGCTGTCCTACGATCATGAACGGACTATGTCAATGTACCGCACCTCCACGGAAAAAGCCGCCAATGCGGAACGCGAAATGAACGTTTACAAGTCAAAGCTAGCGTGAGTTTCCGGTCTGGAAACAACTCTTATCAACATTCATATCAATCATTTGCCTTCAGCGCTACAACTCGCTCTTTACAGTCTACTGAGAATGCCCATAAACACACCACTGCCGAACTGCAACGCACTCGTGCCTCTCTTCAAGCCCTTCGCGCCACCCATCAAAGTGAGATCAAGAAAAGGGAGAAGGAAAATGAACGGATGCTAGAGAGATGGTCCAAAATCTCTGATGCACAGACTAAAGTATCCGCGATCTCTAGTGGTCTCTCCATACGGGGAGCAAACGCGGAGGTCGTTACGGGATCTGAGCTGCTTGGCAAGGGTAAGGGTTATCTTGAAGTTGCACTTGAGCAGGCCGAGGCTGCGCGCAGTCAATTTGGAGACGAGAACCATAAGCTTCGTCGACTGATATTAACCGTTGTCAACGAGATGCAGGCCTTGTTGCACCTGGCTCGTAGCTTCACCTTTGAAAACGAGGAAGAAGTAAGTAATGACATGTTGATAGATCATTGACCACGACTGAAATATCATGTAGCCTACGCCACTGACCCTCACTTCGCTGTTTCCTCTGTCTCCTACAGATGCTACCAGCGATAAGCTGTCCTTTTTACTGGGTTCTTTGCACGATTCTCTCTCCGCTATATCATTGCATATTCTTGAACGCAAACCATCAAAGTCAACATCTGAAGTTGCTGCGAAATCATCCGATTCTGATTCCAACGCAGAAGTTGAGCGATTACAGCGTGTAGTTGACACTCTGCGCACCGAAATCGGTGAGACTGCATTTATACTGTGTATTACAGTAGCTCAAAGGCGCTCCAGAGGAAGCTAGGCAACAACATGATCATCATGTTTCGGAGACCCATGCTCTGCTAGATCAATTCGCAGAGCGAGAGGGTTCAGCAGAAAGAAATCTAGCTGACATAAGTGTCGATCTAATGACAGCCCCCGCAAAAGATGACGAGCGAGACAGACTGGAGAGCATTAAGAAGCAACTTGACACGGAGAGAGAAAAGTTCACTGAAGCTGCTATCAAACTCGGGAAGGAGAAGGCTGCACTAGAAGTACTTTCTACAATCTACTTCTTCTGCTTTTATTCGACGATGCTAACAATATTTTCATAGACTGAGCGTATTAAATTCCTAGACGAGAAGCGCTCATGGCAAGTAGAGATGATGCTCGCTGAACTACCACCCACTCCAGCACCAGCTTTGTCCTCCATCCCACCACCTGTTCCTGCAGCTGTCGCAGCAACTCGTAAATCTCCTCGTAAATCGCCACGTAAATCACCAGTCAAACCCACTGTCGTTGGAAAGGCCGGAAGTGGTCGAAAAACCCGTGTCTCGCGCCGGTCATCAATATTTTCGATTCCATCTCCTAGTAAGGTCGAGCTCGCATACGAAACAGAAGTTATCCCTTCACCTATATTCCTCCCAAATAACAATGCCCTGACAAGGTCTATCTTACCGACCTCCTTTGTCCTCCCACCGCCTTCGCCACGAACATCGCTCCCACCACACAAACCTCTACTCGTCCCTTCCACCGTCCCCCCCGCGCCATCTCAGCTATCTTCTCAACATTCCACCGATTCCGACTACAGCACGAGCGGCTCCACGCTGTCGTCCGGGTCTACTTCATCTCAAAATGAACCAATACCCGTGCCAACCATTGTCGAACCAGCGCCCAAAGTGCCACAAAGCGCAGCACCGCACCCGCACACTCCACCTGCTGCCACGCGCCGCCCTTTTCCTATGGCCAAACCCATGGTAGCGCATATGATTCACGCCTATTCACCCGTGAAACCAAGTCCACTGAGCAGGATCCTCATGCTCGCTAATTCACCTGATAGCCCCGAGTCAGGCTCATTGGGTGTACTGACTGAAGAATCAGAGGACATCGAACTCTCGCCTACCCCTGGAGTTCAGAGTCTGGCTGCAGAACTGGGTGTTGAGGAAGCGCCACTACGGGAGATGAAATCAGAACCCAATGTTGCATCTATACCAAGTGTTATACCAGACGTGCTGGAGAGAGGTGCGGCGAAGGGTAAAGATCCTCAGCCCACGGCCAAGAGATTTACAACAAAAGAGAAAGGCAAGGGCAAAGCTGAGCCCACTGTAGCACCTGTTAACGGTACAAAACCTCGCATCAATGGAACCGGCGAGAAAGAAAACCGAGATAAGCCTAGCCGGACCAAAACGTCTTCAGGGTTGGTGAGCTCCTCTGGTATCACCAAGGTGAAACCTGGTGTGGAAACCAGGGCAGCCAAGCTACCTACAAAGTCCATCGGTGGCAGTTCGAGAATGGCAGTCAAGCTACCGCCTAGGAAAGGAGGTGCACGGCGAGTTCCCATCGGTAGTGCTGAAGCTGCTCCTTTACCAGGTTGGAAAGGTTGAGTGCAAGTTGATGGACGTGATCCTCAATCATATGTTTAGTCTCGAGAAACGACAAACACATGTTCTCTACTTGTGCGCTTTATGCTAGTATGTTTTATGACAATTCCTAGTTGTTTGAACGGTATAGTACATGATGGACAAAAATGACAAAAATAATGGATAAAATACATCAGTCATAACTCATAATAGGTACGTGCGCAGTACAATCTGATATGCTGATTACACAAATGTCATGCAGTGGGAGATTTCATGAACGATGCAAAGTAGCCATTTACGTCTTCAAAAGAATGAGAGGGTGCGATCATACCGACGTAGCCATCAGGGCGAACCACCACGAGTGTCACACAGGTGGGGTCAATACCAAACCTAAGATAGGCATGACCTCCCTTGCTTCCTGTCACATCCGTATCGTCGACAAAAACTCTGGAAAGATCCAACAGAAGGTGTCAGTAGAAGTAGAAGCCGGAAATCAAACTGTAACGCTTACTTGGACCAATGTGACCTGAGCAGCGCTGGCAAACACAAAAAGTTCACATCATCTTTCTTCCCCGCGGTAATCGTCAAGATCTCAAACATAGATGAAATATTCCCATCTGTGGGATATCTCTTCAAGAAGCTCTTCGTTTTCTCCATCTCCTCGGCAAGTAAAAATGCTCTCGCCAGTTGAGCAGGGTCGGTAACACTGCCTGTGAACACTAGCACCTTGAATCGCGAGTCTGCGGGCAACAGATCTTGCACTTCGAAAGGTCGTGCATCTGCTGCTCGAACGATGATGTGTGGAGGCATCCGTTGTCCGATGGTGAGGTTACTAGCACATTGCTGATGGGCAGTGTTAACAATGGCTGATGGAGTATAGTGCACCCCTATGCCACTAGTGAAACCACCAAATGTCTGGAAAGCCCTATAATAATAGATACAGGTTAGTATCGGATTATGTTTCGAGATAGATGTGGGGTGTGAACTCAGAAACTAACCTCAGGAACTGCTCGTGCGTAACCCCACTTTGGTTATCTCTCGTCCGCGGTTTACCCGAAAATAGAGCTGAGAACTCTTTATCAAAGTTGATCAAGTCCTGTGCGTATTTCCGGCGCTCGGATTCGTACTGCAGGATTTTGAGAAGTTGTGCGATTAGAAAGAGTGACAAGGCAGCCCGGAGCGGGCGATGCGATTGATATACGCACCGTCTTCAGTAGTGACATGTCTGCCCAACCCCTCAATACCTGCGTGAGTTTCCAAGCTGCACACCTGTCCTTGAGTACGTCATTTATAGTGCGAAATGTCAAATTTACCAAGGTTGTGGGTGTCATTCATACTGGCGTTCATACCCTGACCTACGAAAGATGAGTTACTCTAATTAGCTGTCAATTGAATAATAATCTAACCTGCTTTGGGGGAGTGTGTATGACAGGCGTCACCAGCAATAAAAACTCTGTCCTTCACAGAAAATTTCGACGCTACGCGTTGTCCAACTATCATACCCATAGCCATCAGAGTCCGACAAGAAAAAAAGAGTCAATGTACCACTCACTGATGTAGATCGTCCACCAATCGATTTCCGATGGAGTATCCATCCTGTAAGGATAAAACGTCTTCCTCGCAACCTTGATGAACGCTCCCGTCAGACCACAGAAGACAGGAACTGAAAGATTCTTACTTCGAGCAATTTCTCTGGATTCATCCTACTTTTATCTATCCTTCCAGTCGCGGGGTCTACAACATCTTTATCAGACAATTGTATGTATAAGCGAACTTTGTCTCCTTCGCGAGGAATGATCATGCAAGAGCCATTCACAGAATGGATGGCGGTCCTATTGCGAATGTCGGGAAAGTCTGTTATTGGAATCATGTCGACAACACCCCAAATGTAGTCTGCAATTCGACGCAAGCGCAGAATCAGCAAGTCAAGTTTTACAATGCCAGACCAAGATAGCATTCACCAGTTTGTTCCCCTTCCATGGATATTTGAAGAGATTTTCGGACCCATGAATGAGCACCTACGATGTGTTTGGTTAGTATGTTTATAAGGTAAAGAAATTACTACGCACCATCTGCTCCAACCACAAACTTAGCTTGTACCGTTTCTGCAGTGTCCGTGTCAAGATGTTGCAATGTTATCTTGTGTCATCAATCAAATTGGTGCATCATAAGCTGGAGAAGATGATATCATACTTTGACAGGGTAAGACGACGGGTCCAGCAATTCTTCTTCACTTGCCGATAACTGAAGGCGACTTGGGACGATGGGACGGTGAACTTCCATTCCCGATGAACTCATAGAATCCAGGAAGATGGCTTCGATGGCCCCTTGGTGAAGCGTAACCTATATAGTTGGTTCATACTTGCGCATATAATGAGGTATCATAGCTCTCTGAGCAAATACCTCATGAGAATATCTGGCGGTCGGTGCAGTCACATCAGGCGTGCGTCCAGTACACTGCCAAAGTATTCAATTAAAACGCATATGAGACGCGTCAATCATAGAAGATACCAACCTCGATGCCACCTTTAGGATTAGGGTTATAAAAGGCCTGTATCGGGAGGTGAGCTTGTGTTATATTGCGCTACACTGGCTGACTTACGGCCATGTGCATCTGGTTGCCCTCTCGAAGGAGACGCTCCGCAAGGCCGTAACTCTATTTCACCCTCAGTACATCGAAGATGCCGTCAAAGATCAAGCTATCACTACTGTACCTGGAGTACCTCGATGGTCCTTGGTTGAATTCCGTCAGCTTGACCTGCAGCAACTCTCGCTGGTCTATATGAAACATTGGAGTGATTGAGTATGCGACCGTCGTGTCCAGCTGGCGCTTTGAGCGCACCTTTTATCGACAAGTCTCACATTCACGCCAGCTTTCACCAGGGCATTGGCACACATAAGGCCAGCGGGTCCGGCACCAACGACTAGTACATCGACGCGACTTGGTTCTGCTATGGGGACAGGCATGAGGGGCGGAGATAGCAGTAGAAGGGGGGAAGAATGGTGAGACGAAGGGGGAGTCAGAAAGCTCTTTATAGTTGTGCCCTACTATATGCGCAAAAAAAACAGGTCACGATTACTGTAATTTCGTGTCCAACGCCGAGACCCGTCCGTGTACTGAATAACTAAAGCATGATGTCAAGCTGTCATTTGACTGATTTCCCGGCGGTTTCCAAATAATAATGAAAATGAGACCTTGACCTCCGTTCTTTCTACAGGGTACTACGCTTCCCGGGCCCCTAGACGGGCTTCCATGCTAGAAGCAACCGCACCATGAATCATGTCTACAACTATGAGAAGAAACACCGAGATATAGTGTTTTTGACCTCAGTCGTACCTTGTTCCCTGAATGGAGGACAGACGGCACAGTACTAACAGTCATGGCTATGGTCTCGCCAAGGAGTACATTTCCAAGCGCCACTACATAGCCGGATCTTCTGTCACGTCGACGCCATAGTTTGTCACCATCAAATTCCAGCTCAGCTCGCGCAACGGTCCAGGATGTTCATAAACATTCAGTCGACGGGAACATCGCCTACTAAAATGGCATTTACTGCTACTCATCATAGACGCTTTTGTACTTCAGGTATACACGCTAGCCTCGCGTCAACCTTAAAAAGGTCTTGCAAGTTACATGGGCATCGAGAAATTTGTCAGTGCTGTAATAATGGGCCACGCTGGTCGGAATGAGGAAATAGAATCCCATCGACACCACCGCATCAGAAAGATAAGCAGGATTTTGACAACTTTCAAAAATGATCCATCTCATGACCGTTCTTATGTAAATAGGCAGCTTGAGGAAGTGATTTTGCACTCTGAGCAGCATTGCGGGCAATTTCGGATTTCTTATCGATAGTCTTGAAATTAATCCGGCCCTCGTGGGATCTCGTGCGACTGGCGATCCATCTTCGAACAAGGTGGCCTCATCATAGTAGACCGCATTACTGAAAGTGCGCTCGCCACGACATCTAGGGTGATATATACCGACGTGCTCGGTACTTAAAGGCTTACCTTTTCATAGGACACGGACTGGGTATATGGGTCAGATTGTCTTCCGTACTGATTCAATCCTGTCAGCTCAGCTGATAGGTGAGTGCTGATGATGATCAGCCAAAAGTTTAAATATACTGTTACTGGACAAATGTTGATAAGGTAGGGGAATTGCTTGCGAAGGCAACCTCGCTATTCTAAGGCATTTCACCTCTTTCCAGTACTAGGGATGTCCGGGGGCCTTGTTATCGATACGATTGCGATATTCGTTTCGGTACCGTTATACAGACAGTCGTTAATGAGTCAAAGGAAAACCAGGATAAATCAAAAGACGAATCTGCTTGAATTTCAGAACCTCAAAAGTGAATACTATGTCAAATACTCTAGACTTGTCAACAGCAGAAGCAGTTTCTCGTTATCTCGAGGGTTCAGAATCCTTCGCTTCTCATCTTGTTACGCCATTGTCTGGGGGTTTCTGCAACTTCACATATCGGATACACCTTCGCAAACCATATGAGAATCGCCCAACTCTTGTTCTAAAGTATACATCTGAATATATTGCGTCTTCTGCAACAAAAATACCGTTGCCTACTGTTCGTCAGGTACGCCCTCAGAGAAATATGATTTAAGTAGCTTTGCTCACCAATGTGAATAGGTATTCGAGGCTGAGGGACTGAAGCTAGCAATGAAGCTGCAGCCTGCAGATTCCATTGTCAGTCCACCACAAGTTCACTACTTCGACGAAGTTTCGCACGTCATTATCATGGAAGATTGCGGTGAAGACAGCATTACGCTTAAACAGTTAATGATCAACGAAACGCTGCCGAGAACACTGGCAGATGAGATAGGAGCAGCGCTAGGAGAGTTTTTGGGTCGCATTCATGATGGAAATAAAAGCCCAAACTTCGACCTTGGACTCCTCAAAGACTATCAGTTAGGGAAGGCGATTTCTGGGAGTCTGACTTACGGATGCTTGATTTCTACCATCACTGGCAAAGACAACTTATCTGCACTGTCAGACCCGGTCTTGCCAATTCCTCAGGAGAAACTGGACATCATATCGGACCTGGCCCCCACGAAGATAGATGCTATTAACAATGCCAGCGAGATATTCACTCAAGGCGATTTCTGGCCTGGAAATATCATGGTTTCGCTCGATCGTGATGCTGCAATCCCTCGCTTAAAGCGAATGTATATATTGGATTGGGAGGTAGCAAAAGCAGGGCTTCCCGGTATGGACGTGGGACAGATGTGTGCTGAACTGTATCTCCTTCAGCGATGCTACGCACACAGCGCAGAGCCCGCAGCATGGGTTTTGAAGTCGTTCCTGGAAGTTTACCGTCGCAGATGTGCTGTGGACGTTACCACTGCGCAAACTGCCATTGTACACGTCGGAGCTCATCTTGTGGCTTGGACACCACGTATTGCGTGGGGGAATAAAGAAAAGACGAGGGAGCTGGTAGAAGAAGGTATTGAATTGTTGGTCGCAGGGTCCAAAAGTGATGAGGCATGGCTCGGAACATCGTTGATAAGACCTTTGTTACTTGTAGACTAGATTGTATGAGAAACCTTTTTGGTCAAAATATGGCAAAAGGGACTCTCATAACTTTCAGCTGAAAATCTAACAAAACAGATTATTAGTATGCGTAAATCCTCCAAGTGAGCTTCAGCTACGTTCCTGATAAGGCTATTGTTTGGCTTTCGGCTGAAAGCCCCCGGTCACTGCAACTCACAATGTACAATGTCGACTAAATCTAGATTGATGATGACATTGTTTTATGCTATGAAAAAGTAAGGAAACTAAGCCTGTCTCTCATGACATGACCCTCTGGGGCAGATATGGACTCTGTGGCCACTGCTGAGAGAGATGGCAGAAGGAGCAGATAAAAGGGTATACCAGATGCCTTATGGTGCAATACAAGACATAGTAATGTCAAACAAGTAATTCATAGAAGGTCCACAAAAATCACAGCATAATTGCAAAATGGAAACCTGGGTCCTATATATGATTCCAGGAATAACATGGCCCTCCAGGGTAGACCTAGACCTGGCTTTATCCAATTCACACACATTGTCCTTGATTTGTGAAAGTAGAAAATTTGAACAGGTTCTGGCCTCCATGACAGCTCCCTATCCATTCATCCCTTCACCACCATGTGTCAGAACCATGACTTTTGGTATACAAGGTCCAGCCCATGGCTCTGCCACTGGTGCAATGTTTTTGCTATATGATAAATAATAACAATAAAACTGTTAAGTGATCAAAATGTTAAGTCAGTGAACTTGTGCTGTTTGTAAAGTATGTTAAGTCTTTGAATCCTATGATGTATGTTTGACTTGCTGTTCTGTTGTTGAATCCTCTTATAAGCCTGCCCTAAACTTGTGCACAGTATACTGAATTCAAGCAGATGATCCATTAAATCTTTACAAACATCAACATATATTGGAACATAAAAAGTCTGCGGTATTACATTGATAAATTGATGAGAAATAAAAAAAAAGAGACTCAAAAAATGGTAAAGGATGATAATATGATCTGATAACAAAACACTTTAGTGAAAAGGGTGAGAATCGGGGAAAAATCTACTTGCCAGTCACGGATAAAGCCAGTCAGAATTTTGGGATACACCACATTGATGGTACATCTGCCATTTGAACCATGCGGAAATAGCATTTTGATTCTCTCTCCTGAAGTGCAGTGAGACAATACAACATAAAGTTGTCCGTGTGAAAACACTGGAACACATAAATCCAGCCCAACCTGTGTCACTGATTGCCCTTGAGATTTGTTGATGGTCATGGCAAAGGCTGACAAAACCGGATAAACCCGGTCTCTGCCAAAGCAGCCATTGTTCTCCATGGAGCATAGCCACCACTCCATGGAGTAACCATTGTTCTCCTAGGAGTCATTATACTGTAGCGAGTAGCACCTCCGACTATAAGTAGTAGGGGGTTTAGTATAGGAATACCTCAGTCGTTTCTATAGCCTCTCGGGCAGCGGCTGAGGTATGTTACATTACATTTATTAGAGATCACCTTAAACTAACATCTATTGTAGTTTCACTTAGGTAAATACTAAAGTCGTTTCTATAGCCTCTCGGGCAGCGGCTGAGTTTCACTTAGTTTTATTAAAGGCAACACAGGCAGGGAACTGACAATGTGATAGCTTGACGGGCAATTCTTCCAATGAAGGTTCCAATGTAAGGCATGGAATAAAAGCTATCTTTCCTGCATGTTTTCCTCCCAAGACACGGCACTTCAATACTGTTGTCTTCATCTCTATCAAAATCACATGTGTTCTATTACAGAGTCCATTTAGGGTATCAATATTACAGAGGAGCATACGCAAACATCCAGCTTTAAGTTTGAGGTGCGCTTCAGGAAGGCCAGATACTTGCAAGGAGCTCAAGAATTCCACAGGACAATTATCTAGCAAGGGAAAATAATGTTGGAGTAAACAAGCGGAACAAAATGTCTGAGATGTTGGACCAGACAGGACAATTATCTAGCGAGGGGAAATAATGTTGGAGTAAACAAGCGGAACAAGATGTCTGAGATGTTGGACCAGCTTTACTAGTACCTCCCTTTTTATTCTTTGTTCTTATTATTTCTATTGTTTCTGTACTTACAAGAACAAGAAAGATCTAGTGAACTACAATAGCCATGTCCGGCTTTCAAGCTGAGACATTCCCTTGTAGTTTACTAGGACTTTCTTGCTCTTGTAAGTACAGAAACAATAGAAATAATAAGAACAAAGAATACAAAGAGAGGTAAAGCTGGCTTCAAAGCAGGGCATGGCTATTGTTTCATTATGCTTTGGCCATAACAAAAGTAGATAAAAGACTTGTTTTCTCATTGGTACACACTTCAGAAACTCTACAGTTATCCAAATTATACTCTGTCACAAATCATATGTGAGAAGTGTATCATAAGGTCTAAACTACAGAGTCCATGAGGAATGTGAGAATGTGCGGAGGAAATGTATGGTGGACTAGAAGTCCGGTGCAGGAGTATCAGAGTGGGTATCCAGAGTACCATGTGGGGGTGGGGTACAGGGCTATGCCGAGTGGCAGAGCATGAGAAGCATAATTCCAAGGGTACCAAAGATTTGGGAGTTTGGACTTGAGGATCTCTGACCTTTTGGAATTCCAGAAACCATAGCTTGTGGCATGGATGTAACACCATGGAGCACTGTCCCAGTTTTAGACAGAATTTGTAAAATTTTGCCATATATACTTGTGTGGGACATTATGGCAACATCAATCATTTCTGATATTGAATAACATCGCCCTCCAGCACTCCTGGCCCGTGGCGGAAGTTATACCATCATTTGTATATATCATATGAATGTGGTACAAAGGCTTGAGGTGCGAGACATTTGGAATAATGATGATTTTTAAATTACAAGTTTTGTAGTAATGCACACCATACAACTCAAAGTAGGCATGGTTATCGTCATTGGTTCAATCAAAAAACCGACCAAGGATTTCTACAGGACCTCGCCAACACCCCTCCCCAAAATGCAACACGACACCCAGATTGTCAAAGGGGCACTGCAAGACGAATGGTTTGATTGTGTTGGTTATGTGTTCTCGAGACAACTCATTTTCATTCAAGTTCATTGGTGTTAATTGGAAGCAAGGGAAGTATGGGGTGTTGAGAGGCACATACTGTTCCTGCACAAAAAGATGTGTGTCTGTGGTACTATGCCTGTGGCAGTTCAATGAAAAGAGATGGCGCTCACGTGCCAAGCGCGGATGGTCGGTACGAATCACCAGGGCCAAAAGTAGTGTCGATAGCTGGTTCTGAGACTGTTGCAATTGACGTACCAGTACCTACTTACACTTCACTTTTTGTACTTTTACTTTTACTTTTTCCAAGTTACATGACCAGTCATGTGACCATTTACTTTACTTTACTTTACATTTTCGGACCTTTCATAAGTCACATGACCAATCATGTGACACATCACCTGACTAGTGTCTAGGCTCACTATGCACCATGGGCATGAAAGGGTTCCAGCCAAGCCGGGAGAGGTATGATTCGTACACAAACAGCATAATTTCAGCCACCTGGCTGGGATACTTCAAATATTATAAATATATACTTTGTGATAGATTAACTAAAATTTTACCAATATTTTGAGAAATAGCTGTGAGGGTTTGTGCCCAGTTTGAGGCTGACATGTTGCTGGTTCTTTATAAACTAAAATTTTACCAATATTTTGAGAAATAGCTAGGATGGTTTGTGCCTGACACATTGCTAGTTCTTGAAAAGTCAGCAGCTCAGCCAA